CAAATATGTCAGGGTATATTTAACTATTTAAGTAGTAGAACAATCTTAACATTAGCATGCTCACACCCTTTAAAAGCATTAATTGTATTAGAACGCACGGAAAAAAATGATTACTATATAATTGTAGTTGCAACATTTATAGTTAATACAACTATTTTGTAGTAAAGATTAATAAACGATTTTAGTAGATATGAATACAAAATTGTAGTTAAAATATTATAGTTACTAGTACTATAATTTAGTTAAATCTATTTCCATTAACTATTTATTTTAGTTAAAACTTGGTTTTATACAGAATAGTTAATTTTACTATAATTTATAGTAAGCATAACTGAAAAATATTGTTGTTTGTTTTATTTTTAAACGCGGTATACGTGATTCCCAATGTGTTGTTTTGTTATGCGTCAAATAGCGATCCATCCGATGCGGCGCTGCAGTCGTCATTGTCCATATTTTATGATCCTCTGTATTCGACATTCGTGTTATTTATATTATTTCTCACACACACCACAATTTATTTTGATTTTGGTCATTTTATACTTCTCATTTCAACATTTGACTACTTGACTGTTGAATGTTGTCAATGTTGATACTCATAACTCATTACAAACATTTTAACATTTACCTGCCAACTGTACTAGCTGGGGATTTTGGAAGTTTGGAGATTCTGTTCCTGAGGTAAGTCTAATTAATTTAGTTTTTAATTATTAGTTAGGTACCTGCTACCTATAAGTATGTAAATTAAAATACTGTCGATTTTAATATTTTTATTTTTTAATATTGCTGCAGTATAAAATAGTATAATATAGGTATACCTACCTATTATCAAGGCTGGACATTATAACGAGTTAAAAATTAAAATGAATTTAAAACGTTAAGTTGATATTAACTAATTTGAGTAACCAGTTACTTTTTTTTAATCTAACTTTTAACATATTTAACGTGGTAACTTAGTTAATTGTATACAGATTTATAAAAATTAGTTTAAATTTAAAATTGTATACAACCCATTAATTTATAACTTTGTTGGCTTGGGAACTATTAGATATCACAGAGGTTCTCTATGCCTCATCGGGTATATCAACTTAACTTAACGAGTTAAAAAAATCGTTAATTTACCCAGCCTTGCCAATTATAATATTCATATTGTAGCAATGTAGTTGGATAATTTCATACAAAACACTGATGTCCAAATTATTATAGGACTTACTGTAATAGTATACTTTTTGAATTATGGATTTATACACTCAAGATATAATGAAACAATGGGGTTTTTCAACTGAAATAATAACAATATTTAAAGGTAAAGAGAATAAACACTCAAAAATTGTCTATTCAAATCTGCAAACTAATTTTATACATTTTTTAGATCAAGAAATAGATCAAGTAGCACTATTGAATCTTACTGAGACTATGATAATAGAGTTGTTGCCTATAATTGGTCAACGATCTAAATTTTTAAAACATTTAGAAGATTTAAAAATACAAAAAGTAGGAAAAAAAATTTAACATTTCAAAACTTTTATCTTCATCATAGATAATATAGCATATGTGTATATCATTTTTTTATTGTTATACCTATAGAATGTTTCTGTTGATTCTAAAAAGAAACATGATATAATTGACTGGGATAATTTAGAAATAGAGTTAGCTCCGATGGATAGCTTTGAAGATGTTAATTCTACAGATAACATAGTATGTGATACAATACCTGACAATTGTAATACTGCAGTCCAAGAATTCAAAGATCATTGTGGTAACCCCCTCAGTATTTAAATCATTTTATTAATATAATTTATACATTATGCTATATAGTATTACCAATAGTATTATATTCAATACTTACTATATAGTATAGGTATTGGCATA